TTTAATTAAATTTACTGTCATTAGTGGATTAAATGTATTTTTTTGAAAATTAATAAAGCATGTTCCCCATGACATATTTCCTAAGTACCCTACATTACTCTTGTATAAGCCTGGTGTTTGTTTCTTCATTTAATCTGATTATTGTGGTTGCTGGCTGCTTCTGCCTTGATGACTGTGTTTCAACACTGAGCAAAGAAGCAATATAATGAGTAGAAAATTAAACTCTTATCAGGATTCTAACACTGACTGTTTACCAAGCCAACTGATCCAGTTAGCTTGGTACACAAATCTTAAAACATAATTTAGTCTGTGCCTCAAGTTGTAAAATTACATTGTTTTAGATTTGAGAATTATACACTCATCATTTGAAAATGCAAATGGTAAATCCAAGGAATAAGTATAAATTTTCCCTCACAATTGTGAAGCTGTTTTAATTCTAGCAATGTCTAGATGTATGAATTTATTTATAAGTCAAGCACATAATCGGTCTCTAAGTCAAAAAAATGATTTACCTTCCATGTTGCAGACTTTATGTTCATAGTTCTTCCCCGGCTAGTCAGGGTACACTTCATTCTGAGAAAAAAGCTTCGCTGTGTGTTTTGTTCTTTACCCTTTTTCACAGGGCCTAATGAAAACATGAAATAAACTTTTAAAACATAACTAAACATATGAATTTGTTACAATAAAAGTGAGTCTCAGCATGAACATATTCATAGCCTTACCCACTCTAACATATACAAGAGAACGGACAGGCTCCGCTCAGTATTAGTATTTATAATACTTAAGTGATTCCCTCACTTGGCAGGAGGACAGCATATTGGGATAATAGGTAATCATTCAAGCCAGTAAATTTGGTCAAATTACAAGGAAACAGGAAAATGGTATGAGTTTGGCCTATCAACATATATGCTATCAGTGCTAAGCATGCTCAAAAAAAGAACCTCAGCAAACTCTTCATATAACCAAATGTGATAGCTCAATAAGTAAAAATGTATTTATAGAACTTTTAAAACAACAAGTTTTTTAATGGCAAAAAAGCATTTTTACATATATTATTTTTTTCTTAAATTATCCTGGAAAGCAGGCAAGAAATTATTTCTACTGTGTTACTTTGGGGGAAAAAAACCCAGATTGAATAACTAGGTTACAGAAATAGGGGTTTGAAATATAGCTAAGAGATAGAGGCTTGCCTATTATGTCTGAGGCTCTGGGTTCTATACCCAGCACTGGTGGGTGGGGGTGGGGGTGGGGGGGATTACAGAAATAAATAAATCCAAGTCTATTTACTCCCGTTCCAAACATCATAACTAAATAATGAGATTACACTCAGGTGATGAAGCAAATAATATTTTGATTTCTTATATTCATTGGTCAGTCTGGTTCAAAACAAATACAAAAATACTCATTATTCAGAACTTGAACTTTATGTTGCAGGTGATACAAAGATGAATAATCAGACACATTCCTTTTCCTGAAGAAGTTAAGCATGCAGTAGCTCTCCTAAGGTCAACAACAATACAATACAGAATTAGTACTCAAGACTTTTTAAGAATGCTTTTAAGAGAAATAGATCAGAAGGTAAATTCTCATCAGGGAGAACCAAGAAGGCTTTCTCAGAAAAAGAGACATTAGAACTTCAGTAAGTAGAGATGGGCTAAAAGGGTATTACAGAATTAGGAAGAGAATGAAAAGCACAGAAAGAAAAAATAGCACATGTTCAGGAAATAGTACACAGTACAGTGTGTCTGCAGGATAAGGTACATGTAGAAGAGTAGTCAGACAAAATTAGAAGGAAAGGTTAGGGTTATTACTATGGAGGGACTCTTGATACCCAAATGAGGAGTTCAACTTAAATATATAATTTGATAGAGTAATAGTATTGAGGGATTCAGCCAGTAGCAGTAGTAGGACTAAAAAGAAGGTTGGCAAAAGGCAAATGAAGAAGTACAATCTGTAAACACTGATGAGATAATTAAAAAAAAAAATATCTAGAAATCTAAAGGTTAGTATATTGAAGAACACTATCAATTGGAAAAGAAACAAAAGATTAAGTTTAAATTTAGGTATGCTTTGCTAGAAATGCTAGACTTTTAAGGAAGATGAGTTCTAGGACTGAATTTGCCTTCCCTAGAAGCATTAAGAATTGATTTTAAAATAATGCCACAAAATCATACTGGTCTTAATGATGATATAGGTGTATTATGGAGGCAGGTGATGATGGTTATGAAAGGTGCAGTAGAGATTTGTGGGTAAACTCCTCCAGGTATTTGCAGTCCTTCATAATCTAAGTTCAAATTAAACTGCTCTTTGGAAACTAAGGGCTTTGATAGGGTGAGGCAGGAGGATGGAGAGTTCACAGCCAGCCTTAGCAACTTAGCGAAGCCCTTTAAGCAATTGAGTGAGACCCTGTCTCTAAATAAAAATACAAACTAGGGCTGAGGATGTGGCTCAGTGGTTGAGTACCCCTGAGTTGAATCCCTGGTTACCAACCCCTCCACAAAAAAAGAACTATATTTTCAGCTCTCTAAAAATGAAGTCATATTTTTTATTTTATGAATTCTAAAAGTTTTTTAGAATTCAACAAATAATCGGACTATTTGTGTAAACACACTACAGACTCTTGAGTATCATTAAAATATAATGCTTTGCAAGAGCACTCAAATAAGTGAAAAAATATTTGTGTGCCTGAAAAAAGTACATTTGATGCAAAACACATTTAAGTGACTAATCTGATGTCAAACAACACATTAACATAATTGCTAAATCAAAACAAGACTGCCTTGTATCCATTTATGGTCTAGTGGCAGGAAGCCCCAAGCAGTCAATATAAACCTCAAGCCTAAAAACTATTTAACTCATTGAAAACCCATTTAGGACCTTGCTTAGAGCATATTTATTTATTTTTTTACACAGAATTCTAAGTTCACTTGTTCTTTACACAGAAACCTAAAAATTGTGCATTTGTTTCCCATTTTCATAGTAAAAACACAAAATGAAATTAAAAAGCAAAACAGGGCACCTATAAATGATGAAAAAAAAAAAGCAGAAGATTGTAGTTAGAATTCAAGAATACTAAAAAAGCTCATAAGTGCTAACAAGCATGGACTGAAGCATGGACTGAAGTAGTCTCCCAGAGTTCAACCCAAGCTCTGCAATTTGCTAACCAAGTAATACTGGACAAGTTACTCAGTAACTAGGTACCCACAGTTTCCTCAGTAAAATGGAAACCAACATTAACTTCACAGGGTTATGAGGAACAAAGAACTTCAAGCTATAAAATGAAGATGACAGTGTCTTGGTCACTGAAGTGTCCACAGAGTATTCTCTCAATAGAGGTTAGCTATTATTATAATAAATGGGATAAAAAGGAAACCTTAAATATTATTCAAGAAAGTACTACAAACTTGAAGTTGTTTAAAACAGAAGCAGAGAAACTTATTTAAATCAGAGGGCAGCAAAGTATAATAAATTTTCATTGTGGTAACTTTCAGTCATGAAAAGTAGAATTGATCAAATGAGTATACTTGGCTGAGGAAGGCACAAATGTGAAAAAAACTTTAATTATTAAATTTTTATAATTCAAAAAGTACTTTTCAAAAATCTTGGAATATTTTGTTATTGTTAACAAGTTACAAGAGTTAAAGTTTTATGTCTTTTTTTAATGTGTGAGCATTCATGATTACAAAACTTTGTAATTGAACTACATAACTTCAAATTATTTTTTAAAAATTCTGAGAAATCAAAGTAGTCATTGTGCTCTTAAAACTCTAAGTCAACTTTGTCCTTTTTTCTTCTTGGATCTCAAAAAAACCTGGATCTAAACTGGCACCTTAGCTTTAATAACTGTAAAATCCTGTTATCTGTCATTTTCACTTCTTATTGCCATAATGTTTTGTTTTATTTTAATTTATAACTTTCTTGGTCTTCATTTTAATTTATACATTTTACTATTCATGTGTATGTGTCTGTATAATTATTTAGGAAGTTAGGTCAGTTTTAAAAAAAATTGTAGTCAGGTGCTGTGGCACACATGTGATCCAGCAGCTCAGGAGGCTGAGGCAGTAGGATACCAAGTTCAAAGGAACCCTCAGCAAAAGAAAGGTACTAAGCAACTCAGTGAGATCCTGTCTCTAATATACAAAATAGGGTTGGGGATATGAGTCAGTGGTCAAGTGCTCCTGAGTTCAATCACCAGTACCCCCACCCAACAATAAAAGGTATTTCTATGAAATTCCCAAAAAAAGTATAACAGTTTTAACAAAGAACAGTGTTAGCATTTTACTAAATGTGAAAGAACATTTTTTTGCCTTAGATGAGTACAATAACGACATTTAAAAATTAGTAACATATCTGATTAAGTTAAACCTCTTGTCACATTAAATCAAACAGTAGACTTTTCTTCTCACCATTTCTGTGTGTAAGCATTTCTCTCATTTCCTCATGGTCACACGGATGAGTAAAATCAAACACACTGTGTCCAGTTAGTTCAAACTGTAAACATATTTTTAAAAATTAGATCTACATCATAAAATCATAAAAACATCCAAAGGGCTTTTAATATGTGGACATTTTACCTGAGTTAATCCCATGTATTTGTTCACGTTATCAGAAATGTAAATCATGTCGCCATCATCTGTGAGCACCATAACAAAGCCATCCAGGGCTTTCAAATAAAAGCAGTTCATCTGTGCCTTCATTTCATCTTCAATATCCAAGTCACCTGAAAAGGTGTGAAGAGGAGGAAAATAATTTAAAAAGTCATGACTTAAATGATGTAATGTTTAGATGTTATCTACAGTATCTAGGCTGGGACTGGGGCTCAGTGGTGGAGCACTTGCTTAGCACATGTGAGGCACTGGTTTTGATTCTCAGCACCACATAAATAAATGGAATGAAGTTATTGTGTCTGTCTAGAACTAAAACAATACATTAAAAAAAACTACAGTACCTGCTTTTTCTGTATATTTTAATTTTTCCCCATTGCTTTCATTTTAATACAGAACAATAAAGGCTGAGAGGACTAAGATTTTGCAAGCTGCTTTTCATAATTATTTGAAGTAATACAGCCAAACCAAAAAAACAAAAAGAAAAACCATATTTTAGAAGGTAGGTAAACAAGAAAAGGGAGGCAGAGGTAAATATAAATTTTATATGCATGGGCATAAAAAAATCATCAGTGACCACCTGCTAATAATAATTTCTAATTACTTCTAATTTCTAATTTTCAGGTCTGTTATATATCCTTTTTAAAGCAACTCACCAGCATCCAGAAGTTTCCTCACACGCAAATAACTGATGGTAAGCCTCATAACAGAAGCCTTATCAAGATGTGAGCTCACGTTATGGGGAAGTGGCAACTGATGAGCAAGTTCATAAAAAACTTCAGACTCTTTGCTTCGTCGAGATCTGGCTGCATCTCTAGACTTTTCTTTTCGACGTTCAGAACTTATCCTACTTAACAACAAAAACAACAAAAAAGAGACAAAAAATGTATATAAGCTAATATGCCTTAGCTTGAATAAAATTAATTTTACATTTTTCTTACCACAGGATTAGAAGATGCCATGTAATTAAATTGTAAGAGATTTGTCTAGTAGATTAATGCATTCTTATACAAGATGACTCTACATATTTTGGATCACTGCAAACAATAAGGAACTCTCACAAGACCAAGATTAAGGTTTAAACTTTGCCAAAGCAGGTGTTTCCTCTTTAGCATCTCAAATTGGAGATGTTTTTATTTTAGCTAAAAACTTCAAGAGACCTACATATCTAAGTGTGTACTTAATAGTCTTTCACATGTAGTCTAAACAAAAGAAACCATGATTAATTCTGGAAAAACAACCTAAAGTTGTACATAAGAACTTGAGAACAGGAGTTGTTAAGTAGATACACCGATTTTTAATGTAACTTTCTTTTGACCCCAATATTGTTCTACTTTTCTACCCTACCTACCAAATGAGGAACACCAACAGTAAGCTATAGAAATTCATATTAAGCTATAATAAGCTACTTTTTTCAGGTTGCCTACTTCCTTAGCAGCCTTTTATCTATTACTGGAGTAATGGGTACAAAATAAATGCAGGAAAACAAAGTACATGTATAAAAGCATGATTTGGTGTGAACATACTCCATATACAAAGATATGAAAAATTGTATTCTATATGTGTAATAAGAATTGTAATGCATTCTTGCTGTCGTGCATTTAAAAAAATAAATAAAACAAAAAAATGCAGGAGGATGGAGGAAAATAAAGATGTGGCACAATACCAAAATTTAAAGGGACAGGTTGGTGAAGATAATAAAGGTGTTAATATAATGATAAATCTTTAGGGAATTCTTCCAAGAATAAATTCAAAAAGATCACATAAATTGACTTCCTTTGCTTAACTACTAAGCTCCATCTTATTGATGGAGTTGAAGTTAAGTCTAAATCTGGTTCTTTTTTTGGCAGCTTCTTTAATGGCTATTGTTATTAAAGCCTACTATGTACAAAACACTGCCCTGTAATAGGTGCCTAATAGATTAAATAGTATCCGTATTTTACAAATGAGGAAACAGATTCTGCAGGTTAAAATCAACAATTCTGTAGCAAATAATTTAAAAGCAGGTATTTTAAAAGCAAATCTGTTCTTCCACAATTTTCTCTTAATATAAAATGCTGCCTGTTTTAAATACTCAGCTGATCTTCTTTGCCCTTCAACTCAATCCTGTTAGTCAATTATTTACTAAATGTTGAAAACAGCCCTTGAAATTTACTGGGCATTCAGCAGTGTAACAGAGGCTTATTTCACTTAATCCTCCTCATAACCTATGAATGAAGTACATAATTGTCTCCACCTCAAGTCTCTCTTCCCTTTAAAAGATCTTCAAAGCTAAAAGGTACAATCATAAAAACAACTTCTCAAGTAACAAGCAGTTTTCTCAGTTATGCTGTACAATATGAAAATACCTAACAGTTTTATTTTGACAATAGAGATACTATCGTTTATAAGTTTGTGTTTATGTGACTATTATGATTTAATAAAAATGTAAACATTGATTATAGTAACTGATAAAAATTTTCAGTTCAAGCTATCATTTGTAACTAATTATCTTTATGAAGCATGGTTTTCTCAGTTCTCTACAATAAAAATTAGACCCTGAGACTCCATGAAAATGCAACAATGTCAACAGCCTGCTACTGTTATTTTTTAGGTGCATTAGAACTGCTTCATTGTTCTCACTGACTAAATGTTTTCAAATAAATTTTAAAATAAATTGTACAATAGTTTTTTTTTTCTTTTTTTCCCTAAACTCTTTGGTCAGATCCAAACCAACTAAACAAATGCTGTTTCCTTCACAATTTCCCCCCTCTTCAATTGGTAGGTGAGAGAAAGTGATAGCTATGGGAAACATTACTATCAGTTTAAGTAAAATCATCAAAAAGAGTATCGATCAACTTTAGGATAAAACTGAATATTAAATGCAATAATTGGTTCAGGTTTCAGAATCTTACAAACAACTTGAATCAAACTCACTGGCTTCCTTTTTCTGAAGTACTCAACTAATCTAAGCCACTAATAAATAACTACCCAAATGAAAGACATGGTAAAAAATTGAAATCCTTATAATAAATGTTACATGCATTTAAAAGTATCAACAATGGTTATATATGTCTCCATACCTTTTGAAATACTTGTATAAGGTATGGCAATAATCTTCAAGGCAAATCCATTAGAAATGTGAGGCTGGTTAAAACATTTAAGCTAGTACATGTAGACTGTAAGAAAAAAATTTTTGAGCATGAGCCTGAATTTTGGAAGAAAATAGTTTCAAGAAAACAAGTAATATGATATGAGCTGAAATACTCTACAAGGCACCAATCAAAACCAGGGGACCTAATAAATGACACCCCCCACAGCCCTACCTCCAACCAGGTGCTCCGGATTGAACCCAGCCAAGGTCTCAAACACTTGCTAAGCATGCCGGCACTCTACCACTAAGCTACACCTCCAGCCCTATAATAAAAGGTTTAAAGGAGAAATGTATATGATGTTCTTCCCATGTGAATGGGAACTCTTGAAAAAAAAATTCTCTATTTTTTAAGCTAAAGCTTTCAAAGTTCTTAGGAGTTTCAGCATCTGAACTGCCCAATTTCTTGTCTACTCACAGGAAGGCCCACTTTATCAGTCATATACCACAGAATTACAGTACTGATCAAGAATTATTTGTCAGGGATCTGGGTCCCACAAAGATGATTCTTTAGATCACACAATAAAAGGTGTGTAAACTAGAAGGAACTAAGCATATTTTCAGCATGCAAATGAATTATCAATTACATCTATGTTGTTTTGAAGTACAGATCAAGGTCCATTACTGATTTGTCTGTTAAGAATATGGTCAAGGGGTGGGGATGTAGCCCAGTGGTAGTATTCTTGCTTAGTATGCATAAGTCCCTGGATTCAATCCCTAGTACCACAAAAAATAAAATAAAAGTTAAAAGTTTATGAATAAACAATTGTTTTAAAAAGAATGCCTATTACTTGAGATTACTGCACAAAACAACTGCAGGCATTAAGTCATCTATTTATACTACTATTACTAATTGCACCCCCAAACCCTTTAAGCATTCCTGATTATAAAGATAAGTAACTTTAAGAACTGAAGTTAAGCCCAGTGGTAGTATTTTTGCTTAATATGCATAGTAGCACATGCCTGTAATCCCAGCAACTGAGGAGGCTGAGGCAAGAGGATAGCAAATTCAAAGCCAGCCTCAGCAATTTAGCAAGGCAGACCTTAAGTAACCTAGTAAGACTCTGTTAAAAAAAAAAAAAAGACATGTATATTATCTATCTATCTATCTATCTATCTATCTATATCTGGGGATGTAGCTTAGTGGTTAAATACCTGGGGGGATCAATATCCCACCTCCCATACAAAAAATAACTGAAGATAAACCATAAGCATTTAAAACATTAGCAAATGATAAGACTTATTTCTACTAAAGTTAATGTAGAAAATTTTTGAAAAATAGCCCTCAGTTCTACTTGATGAAAAACTCTGGCTTTGTTCAGAGTACAAGTTGGATCTTTCTATTTATTAATTTTTGCCAACCCATCTCTATATTAATTGACCTATACTTTTTAAAGTCTCAGGCTCAAGAAAAATACAAGGAAGTTTTTCATGCTGCTTCTTTAGTTGGCATTTTTGCCTGCACCTTTAAGTTCAAACATCTACTACAGTGCTTACTATGTACATGGTGGTTTTTTAAACATTTTTTCACCAATTAACTTGCTTAATTCTCATTATCATCACCATGTTACAGATAAAGATCCTGGTTAAATAGCTTACTCAAGGTTACACAGTTAATAAATGGTAAGATTTGATTTTAACTTGAGCAGTCTAGCTGTAGTTTCTATTGGACTACGCTGCCTCTCAAAAACTCACTCTAATTATCAAGACATGTATTCATAAGTGTAGGCTATTATTACAAAGTTTAAAATTTGTCAACCTCACAAATCCAAATACATAGAGAAGTTATTGGGGTTGGCTCTGGAATTTAAAACTTGACCCTAAGCTATTCAGAGGGATTCATTACCAAGCCTTTTTTGAGTCTGCTTGTAAAGCCAAAATCTTAATTGAAAGGCACCTACTGCAATGGTCATCAGTGCTCTCTGCTTCACTGTCTACCAGCTCTTCAAAGCAATCTTTAAATATGTACCAGCTAACCACTGAGGGGAGAAAACAAGAGGACTGTAATTTAATCTATGCTGTAGACTCCACTAGACTTGTATCTGTACAGAACAGCTATTTGAAAATTTTAGTTCACTATTGTTTTTTACTTGTTGATCAGTGTGGCAGTTAAAACTTCCTTATTATGATTTTATCTGCTTTTACAAAGTTCTAACTTATATTAGACCAAACTTTAGAATAAAGGCTGAAGTCTTTTTTTTTAATATTAAAAACATTTAGATCTACACTTTAAACTAATGCACATAATATGCATTCTCCTAAGGGGAGATGTGCTTTCTGAGAATTTTGTTGATTTGTTTTTTTGTTTTTATGGTACTGGGGACTGAATCCAGGGCCTTGCACATGCTAGGTAAGGGTTCTACCATTGAGCTACATTCCTGAGACTGTTTTTTAAGTAAGAAAAGATCTGGGGTTGGGGTTATGGCTCAGTGGTAGAGAGCTTGCCTTGCACCACATAGAAATAAAGAAAATAAAGGTCCATTGACAACTAAAAAATATTAAAAAAAAAAAAAGAAAAGAAAGAAAAGATCTGCCTCTAGAATTTAGTATGATCATGGCATAAATACTGAAAGGTAACGCTCAAGTTCTAATGCTGATATTTTTCAGTTCCATCATTTTTCACAGGAAAACAAAAGAAAGATTTACCAGTTCTTGGTTTATATTTCACAGCACATATGAAGGGATTTAAAAAACAGAATACCTCTAAACAAATTAACACACAATCACTTCTTGGTATAAAAATCTCACATTTCCATAAGAGAATCCAGTTAACTGTTCTCCCTTGACTGAGCATTGTGTTGCTACTTGCACAGGACTACTGACTAAGCTGGCTGAGTGCTCCTACTTGGGAAAACTAGATTTTTTGCATGTTTCAGGAAACATTCAATTTGGTACCAGTCAAACAGTAAAATATACAATTCTACTCTAAATTGCACATATGCATGATACTGCATATGTGTGGCAGTTACAACAACTTCCTTATTATGATTTTACCAAGTTCTAACTTATATTAGGTCAAACTGAAGAATAAAGGCTAAAGCACATATGCAGTACCATGCACCATATAGTAATGAGCAGAACAGCTCTTGGGGAACTTAGATGATCCCCTACTTAGTCTATTAAACAGCCTCCTAATGCTATATTCACAAATGCTAGTCTGGCAGCATCATAATTACTTGGAGATATTACATATTTCAAATCTGTAGGTCCTTTCTTTATAAATTCAGATTCAGTATATATGAGGCAGAGTCCCAAAATTTGGGTTTTTAAAAATTCCCAAGATGCATGTGATACATAGTGACGTTTGGGAACCATTGACTGATCGTTGTTACTAACCCTGACTGCCTTCAAATCACCATCATTAATAAAAAATAAAAAATCTGATATTATATCCTGCTTAAAATCCTACCAATGTACAAGGACAAAATCTAATTATCTTAAAAAAGAAGCACCCTTACCTAATTCCTGTGTATCTCTTCATCATTTACCACACTGCAGTTACTCAAGAGCACCCTATGTCATTCCTTTCTGGCTTGCTCGCTCTACCATCTTCCTGTGGTACTCTTCTCAATATATGGCTTAGTAAATTTACACAAGAAACTTTCAAGAGTCTGCTCATTTTTGTTTCTGGGGTTGTCTTTCAAAACTCTCTCCCAGTTGAATTGAGCATGCCAGTTATTTGGCTATATTGTCTTCCTTAACAACCCTTATAGTTTCTTGGGCATAGGAAACTGCCTCATTCATCTTTGTGTCCTCAGCAGAGATGTGTGAAAGTCTGTCTTTAACTTTGGTATTTGGCCATAATCTGGTATATGGCTTTGATTTTAGGCAAAGAAAAGCTGACTGCCCTTTATGCATTCTTTTTGGGGAATCTCTGATCTGTGCTCATCAGTGCTTTTGTGCTCCATATATTACAATCACAATTAACCAGCATAGCTATGTCAGTACTACCAACAAGGCATAATATTCGAATTTACTGTGATTACCTGGATATTGCACTTTTAAATAAAAGTAAGCATACCTGATGTAAGTTTGAGTAAAAAATCTTTCTTTCATCTCCTTATTTCTTTGCACTTCGTAGTCTTTTTCTATAACAGCCCCCAGAATAATCCAGCAATCTGTGCTTTAAGAATTCCTCTGTGGGGCAGGGTAGATGGCACATACCTGTAAATCCCCAATTACTCTACTTGGGAGGATGAAACTGGAGGATATTAAGTTTGAGGCCAACTCAAAGCTAGGCAACTTAGCTACCCTTGTCTCAAAAGATAAAAAGGTCTAGGTGGGGACAGGGAACCCAGTAGTAAAGTACTTGCCTAGCCTGAGTGAGGTCCTGTGTTCAATCCCTAGAACCGCAAAACAACAACAACAAAAAAACTCCATGCACTCCTCCAGGGAATTGTGATGTAAGCTAAAGTTTGATATCCTCCATCTTGGAGTAAAAACATCACACACACACACACACACACACACACATACACACACACACATTTTTTCTTTTATTTATCTAACATACTACCTTATATTTAGTTGG